TATCGATTCATTATCACGAATCGACAATGAAAAATCTGTCGGACGAGTTTCACTGCCTCTTACGAGAAACGAACCATGATCATTAATACATCAGACATCAAAATTTTTTCAGCGTCAATTCGACGAGTCACTTTGAAATACCATCTAAAATAAAGTGAATAATTATAAATGAGTGTTTTTCTTTATAGAGATTAACGAATACATACGGTTCTGACTCGAGGCTATCTCGTTTGACAACATGATTAGACGGTAATAAACCTTCTTTTCCTGTTTCGGATCGTGCTTTCCACCAAGCATTATTTCGTTTACAAATAATTTCTAATAGATCATTCTTTCGTATTGTCAAATCTTCACTCGTTCTCGCATTATAATATATTGCAACGTTGGTTTGTGTAATGGATTAATACCGCCATTTAAAATTGCAAATGGGACGGATGTTGCAAGCGCTGCTATAGTGAATGGTTGTGGTGTTAAAGACGAATTCACCGATGCCGTTGACGATGATGGAAGAAATGTTGGCGAAGATGGGGGTTTAATATTTGAAAATGTGTCACCTTCATTTTTACCGTTAGGTGATGCTATCTGAGATGAGATGAGTAAAGATGATGGTGATAAAGAAGAGAGAGGTAGCGCTGAAGATGCAGTGTTATGGTTAGTAGTATGCGAAAACTGAGAATGAGTCTGACGGGCAGGATGCGCCTGTTTCACATTGGGACGGCCGAAGTACAGACAATTTCCCATCCGACACTAAAGAAAAGAAAGGAGAAGAAAGCCTATTAGAACAAAGAATAAATACAATTTTTCGATATTTTATTTATTGAGAGAGGGTTTTTTAATAAAAAATGTTCACCTAAAACTTAAATAATGGATTTTCATCCTAGAAAAAAAATGAAATTTTCTTGCGTATAATGAAAACACATAAACGAGTGAATACGTTACTTTGTTCATGAGCCATGACGGAACATGAAAGTTACATGGTAGTTAAATGAACTTATTCTGAGATATTAGCCATACCGTACTTTAACTAGTAAAAATAGGCAAACTATTTTGAAAGAAAAAGAAAGAGATCTGGTTGTCTGAATCCATCAGAAACAAGAACAGTGTATATGGTCCGTTAGTAGTTTCACCACCACCACCCCCACCCTCTGACGAGGGAAGGTCACCAACTGCCTCCTCGCGTTTGAGCTTAAACTCGGCTGACAATAGGTAATCGAACGTGCTGATTCCGAATATCACAATGGTTTTTGCCCGCTTTCGATTTAAAGACCCGTTTTTTAAAGATCTTGGTTTTTCAATCGAAAACCCATTTTCACTAAAAAATTTCCTTAACCTCTCCAAATGAAAGAGCACGTCGTCAAACCTACAGAAAACAATTTTTCAAGGTTCTAAGCGAGATTTGAGCGATCTTCTGCGTCTAAAACTTAAAAAAGGAGGGAAAAACCGCTAATATTCTTACACAATTTATAAAAGAAAAACTACTGTTTTTCTTTCTGTTCTGTTTTTTCACACATGTTATTAGCAATTTGTGA